AATCAAGCCATGACAAAATCAAAGTCATCTGGATTTGACTCCAGATATTTTAAAGTATTTATGGGTTCAAATGTTATCGCTATCAAAACCTACAAAAAATAAGGGATGTTGTCTACCAACAAAATGTGTTCTTTGAGAGTTTTCACTCTACGCTCCCTTTTTTTTGGAAATTAGACCCCATTTAGGAAGCATGGAGTGAAATTTGCACTAATATGAATACCACACAAAAAACATTTAAAGATTGACCACTATAACTTGATTTTAGCAAGAGCTTTTATTACCTGGACAGCTTCAGAACAGAAGAAGTTTGTTAAAAAAAAACTTGAAACAAATGACGTAATGTGTCTAAAAGGACTGCGTACCTCAGACTGAAAATAAGATTATAGAATCATACTTCAGTTCAGGTCAAAACACTACCTGGCTAAGGTGAGATGAGTCAAGGGTGACAGAATTTGTGGGAATAGGTATAGGAGCCTTACAACTTAAGCCAGCAGTTCCAGCCTGGCTTCCTTGCTATTACAACATGGCAATCACAATTCCTTTAATCAGTCCTGTGAAAAGAGGTAATGGACTTACTCTGATTCCTAGTCATGTGTCTTTAGTGAAGATCCTGGTGACAGGAAACAGAATGCTTTGTGGGATAAGATGAATACAGAAATATCAGCTGTGCTGGTATTAACTCTATCTGGAATGGCCATTTTCTGTGCAGTTCTGCATCTTCCTCATCTCCAAGGCAAGAGGAGGAAATATATACAGTTTGGGCCTGTTAACCCTGGGCTACGGTAAAAAGAATCTGAGCTTAAAAACCTTTACAAAGTCTTTGCACCTGCTCTGCTGTCAAATGTCTGTGAAGAACTGTGAAGTTACAAGTTCTCGTTGGACAGGGCCTGTGCTGCAGGATACACTCAGTTCAGCAAGAAGTCTGGGGTGCACAGGAGAGATGACCTCATTTCTGTAAAGGGGTAAGAGACAAGAGAGCCTGTGCCAAGAAGGATGCCAGAGAGGGTAAGTTGTGAGATACTGATGCAAACTGCACAGACCAAGCACGGACATACCAGACGGCTGAACAATTAGCTGGGGAAGCTATGCCTGATACTGCTGATAACAAAATTCCTATATTTAAATTCATTTACGACTGAGTTATTTTGCCCCTTTTTTTCTAATAAGTGAAGTCATCTGCTACTGCTAACTCTCCTCTTTACTCTCCTGGCTCCACTCCTAGTGCATACTGTTACCATGATTGCTATTCTGTTATTTTGCCTTTCATGGAGACAAAGCACTCTTAGTAGGATTTTCCAGTCAGCTGGCACGAACAAGGGTTAGTTTGGTTTTCATTATTTCTCAGCATCATTTTCAAGACTATGCTGACATGCACAAAAATAATGTATAAAAATATTAAAACATTATTAAAAATTTGTTTGCGTTAGGGAACGTGAGACAACTTCATCAGAGTGAGCTGAGTGCTGTTCAGAGATCTGTGGCAAGAACATTTGGAAAAGTTTACACATATCCCAAAGGATCTCACTGTTTTTTCCTTTGCATAATTTTTCCATGAATAATCCTTCAAATGTTATAAATGAATGTTACTTTTGCAATCCTTCAGTAGAACATGTGAACATTTACAGTCTCCAGAGCTTTTAAAAAAAGCAACAGTGTGAAGGAGTTACAGTTCACACTTTTCTCCACTAAAAATCTATCAATAAACCAATAGTAGGCATCCAAACAGAAAACTGAAAATTAGTTGCATGTTATATGCTGAAAAATGGAGTGATTTTCAGGAAGGTAAAACAGTCTCAAC